GAGAGGCTGGGTACCTGATACGCGTATACGACTACTGCTACTACTACTACTACTACTACTACTACTACAACTACTACTACTACTGGGTGTGTTAGGCGATTCTGCCGCAGCCGCCGACGACTGTCACACAAGCCCCATGTTTTTGTTCGCAGTATTGCTTCTGCGATAAAATGGGGTTTTCGTTTGGGAGCCCGTCTCTTCGTACAGATGCTTCTGGACGACAACCCAGATTGTTTAGCAAGGTGTGGTGGACACTGAGGTCTCTGACAGGGTTTTGGAAGTAGACCTCCCCTAATGAAAAGGTTGATTTGGAGCAGAAAGCCTCCTGGAATGTTGCATACCCAACAGCGTGAGTGTATTTTCTTGGCCTGAGACGAAAAGCAAGACCATGGTCCTCACAGGTGCAAGAGCAAGCGCACGATCAAGTACTTTTTTATCTTGGGTGACGAGGCGACTGAGGAGGAGAAGGCTCACCCTGAGTACGGCCGGTCTCTCTATTTCATCGGATCGGACACGGATTGGCGTTCCAGTTGGTTCCAGCTTTAAGTTCGAGCAGATGGATTGGAAAGTCGATGTGTGTCAGTTCCGTTTGGGCTTGAGCGAAGTGGCTTATTCGTGGCAGGAGAATCGCCATTTGCGGGATGAGGAGTCTTGGCAACCTTTCGGTATGCCTTCCATCCTGAAGTCGTTTCAAGCGACACAAAGACCCCAATTAGGAACGCCTCTGCTTCTGTAGTTTCTCGTGCTATCTCCTTCGAGCACTGCAAAAAGCTTGCCGGTGCTATGTCATCAGCACTTTCCACGTTGCTGCTACACCTGTGCACTTGGAAGGAGGTGCTGGACTCGAATGGAACTGTGGCGACTACCACTGGGAACCATACCAAGGACGGACCTGCTTTTTCTGGCTGCAGCCAGCGCGGCGGATGTGCATAGCATGAGACTTCAATGGCTGCATACCGCATCGTTCTCTTCAGGACAAGTCCGACATCATCGCTTTGTCAAGGCGACCCGAGAGAATTCCTTGCTGTGCTATCGGCAACTTAAAGCGAGATACGGTGGGAAAAGGCAGGGACATGTGCAATGAAGCACAAGCTGGGCAACAACCACCTTTCCCATAAGCCCACGGAGATTTGGGATGTCAGGCAAGAAAGTTCACGGAGGAGCCTGCAGGTAAGAGTTACGGTGCTCTCACGATAAGACGACATTGCAGAGCGGGACGCCAATTTCTAGTGGAATGAGGGACCTGCACACCACGACGAAGAACTGGACAATCGAAAGCAGGGCCGAAGCATATGTGCCGGTTCAATGACACAGAGATCAGCGGCTTACGAGTAAAACCAAGAAAGCACAAGCCGGCAGCTCCGTGGGCACATGCTGAAACCCGGCAGGTGCAGCAGTGATTACATACGTCTTGCAGAGAAAGTGCGGAAAGCGATCCGCTTTGCAGCTCGGCATGCAGCAAGCCTTCCGCTGGGTATAGTCTTAGAGCCTTTCCTGAAGTTGCACAGCCAGCAAGGCGATTGACGTAACCAGATGGACTGACACACCGTAGACTCAGCCAGAAATTGTCGGATGTCGCATTGAGAGTGTCAGCCGTGTCAATTGGATGCAGCAGGTCACGACACACTTCAGTTTTCGCCTGCTGTTGAAGACAGCTCCTCGGACAAAAGTGCTCAACTAACAAGAGGCATTTCGGATGCAGAAGAATCATGACGGCCGGGTTTGAGCCGGAGAATCGCGCAAGCTAGCTCCTTGCGAGCTGGCGGGAGTTGTTGTTTACAGATTTGGTTTGACTCGAGCGACACCTTAAAGGCTTTTGAGCGTCAGCACGGGGAAGGGGGGGCCCCCTCCCACCGTTTTGGCTGATCAGGCCCGCCCCCTTGCGGACTTGAAACGCAATTTCAGCCAAGCACGGTTGGATTCAATCGTGAAGATATGCAGGAAGGAAGGTTGACAGTGCCTTGTTGGTCTTGTTGACATGTGTTTGTATCACAGCTGCTTGGAAGCTACTCCCCGTCCAAGGACACAGACTCCTGGATCTTTCTCGATACGCTTTTGGCATACGCAGAAGCAAACGACCTCTTCAGCAGGAAGTGCGCCCTCCACAATGTCGCTCAACAGTGTCCCGTTGGTCGTGCGACGAGCCTGTTCCTTTCGTGTAATTTGCAGGCGCTCGGTTCATGCTGGCGACGTTCGCAGAGGTGCCAAGCCGCAAAAGCCGAAGTCTGGTGGCAAAAACATCGATGAGGCACCAATTGTTTCGAGAGAGATGCGCTCAATCCATCTGTTCAGTCTGTTGGTTGGAACAGAAGAGACGCTGGGCCTCCTGGTTGCTGTAAAAAGCTAGAAACAGCTCCTAAACTTTATGCATATGTGGCCGAACGCAGAAGCTGGACAGGTGTTCAACACCAAGACGGGTCAGGACACCTACCCTGTTTTTGCTGCAGGGTGTGGTTACCTGCTCACGAGAAACCTTTGCTACTTGTACGCAAGCAAATCCAGGTATCGGTGAATATCACATGGCCATGTGCCTCGTATCAGGTATCACTGGGCATCCCGATGTTTCAAGCCTTGCCAACAGTTCCTGGTAGCAATTGCTGGACCAGGCAACTTCATCGCCCTTCTTGCAATGGAGGAACCCGAGATGCATTGATCCCATTGGCAAGCAGCACATGGTGCCGTTGCCCAGCAGTGGAAACACCTCTCAGACTTGAATTGCGCAGGATCCCGATTTGCCCAGTCTGACAGAGCTGCCGCAGGAGGACGTGGCAGCACCCTGGACTAGATTTGCCTTGGAGGTCAAGTGTCACCTTCAGGTCCTAAGGCCTTCTTTACACTGCAGCTCCGGAGGGCAAGGCAGCTACATACAAGGCTTCACTTTCTTCAGGAGCAAGACTTCATGGATACTCAAAACTTGCTGCTGCTTGTCCTTGACGTTCCGCGCGTTGTGCTCCGGCGCCGGTACTGGAGGTAGTGTTGTCCTGCATTACCATGTCAACCACCACAACCACCACCATCACCGAAGGGCCGATTTCCTTAGCCTTTTTTTGAATTCATGAGAACCCCAGGGTTGAAATCCTTGACAAGACTGTCTTGAAATTAAGTTAACACAACAAAGTTGCTCGTTATGCGTTGTTTGCTTTGGCACGAACTGGCGTTCTTGGCACTGTGTGTTTTCTGTTGTTTGTGTCAGTCTGATTTGGGATTTCTTGCTAGTGTCTGGTCGTGGCCTTATGGCTTTACCGTCCCTCCCAAGCACGAATCACAAGCACGGTCCCCGTTTAGGTTACGAATCACAACCAGTCATCCATGGAACCTGAGAGAAACTACACTTGTTCCGAGGTGGGCTTCTGGCTACAGGCCTGGGAAAAGCTATGCATCACGAAATCCCTCCTGGCTGTATGCACAGGCTCTTCAACACGATAAGCTGAAGGCGCCGATTTCACCCATAGCTGAAGGCTGCCGAAGCCTGTTGGAGATTAAGTGCTGGAAGCGGGGCTTTAGGGTGCCTGGTTACCCAACTCAACTGCAGTGGCCGTCCCCTGCAGTTTCATAGGGCCCGTAGGCTATATCTGTCTGGGAACAGTGGCGGTCACAATGATGTTCTAGTTCTCCAGAGTCGCGAGCTTGACACATGGCGTACTGCCACACTTCCGAACCCTGCGTCCTAGAAGTCTCCACTCCAAGGAAAAAGTCCATTCCCAGGAAAGAATTCGGGCCATCGCACGAAGTTGATCGTTGATCACTACGTCTCAATTGCGACTGAGCTGAAGTCTTCTCACGAGCTGAATGCAGACTACATGACGAGATGATCGATATGTGCACAAAGACGGGATTGGGAGAGGAAGGCTACCAAACAGAGAGCATGCACGATCACCCAGGCGGAGATGCATCGAAGGGCGAGCAATCTGCGTCAATACGGAAATCCTTGTGGCGCAGGCCTGGAGGGCAGAATCCATATATGTATGTCTATGTATATGCTTAAATGTCCATGCGAACATTGAAAGGAGTGGGCCAACCGTGAATTCTAGAGAATGAGTGGGACTCACCTCCGAACCTTAATAGGGGAGCAGGAATGGCTGACAAGACTGGTGGCCAACCTTTTGCCCTGAACGCTCAAACCTTGAAAAGAAACTCAACCCTCAAACTCCTACACTGTTGTTCCTTTTTGGCTGCATCGCCGTACTAACAACTCAATACCGACGGGTGTAACGAATTCCTTCAGTTTTGCTTGTTTGTTTTTGGCGGCATCCTGCGCCTTTACGAGATTTGTGTCATGCCCTCAAGCGCAGCAGTCGAGTCCCTTGTGAGAAAAGTTGTTCTCCGCGGGTTCAAAGCTGAAGGACTTGGAGAACAAGCCCACAACACCTTGGTGACACGGTGTGGGCCATTTTGTTCGTATGCCCGAGGTGACTGATGACACCCAAAGACTTCATCGGTTCTGATCTCGGGAGGGTGTCGCCCGCGCAGTGACTCGTGAAGCTTCTCAAACTGGCCTCCGACAGGCGATTTCAGCTCAAAGGCCGCTACCTCCTGTAGCAAGGGAGAGAGACTTGGTGTGTTTCCAAGGTGGCATCAGAATCCGACTGGCTGTTTTCGCTTTCATCAATATCGTCGCCTGTGTCCTGGCAGCTTGATGCTCCTTCGGCAGGGTGTTGTCGGCCACATCGCCTCACCATAGTTCTTGCGCAATGCCTTGCCAGCCATGGTTCCAGTGGTTCAATATGAAGTCTTCGTCGAAGGCAACGGTTGGGATTGCTGCTCATGTTTCAGCAACTGCACCAGCAAGGCTACACCGTTATGCAGTCCGAAGCGGCGCGATGACCGAAAACTGCAGGCATGCGCTCTGCTACACAGTCGGATGAAAACAAACTCCGCCCATAGCATTTGGTTGCTGTCTGGTTTGCGTTGGGGAGGTGACAGAATTTGATGGAAGCAGTGTGCGCAATGACAGAAAATATATTCCCATATCGATTCATCTTTCCGGATGGGCGGAGTTGTTGAGCACGTTGCATTTGCTTGTTTTCTGGGGGGTGTAGTGAATAGACGCACAGAACAGAGCAACCCTAAGCGTGAAGCAGACTAGAAAGTACAAATAAATAGATAGTTAGATGGACCCGATTCGCATAGAGAGAGATATATGAGATACTCGTACTGCATTATATCGAAAATACGATATTGGAATCGCTGCTAGAAATTCCTTAGTTACCACGGTAATACTTTTTTGGAAAATTAGTAGAAACTAAGCCATTTTCATTGCGCGAGATTTCGTCAAATTATTAATATTTTTTATCTTACGAGAACCATTTAAGTGTAGGATTAAGATTATAATATTCTATATAAATTATTATTATTCTTGATTATCTTATTGCCGAAATAAAATCGATTAAGATATTATTTTGTATTCAATAAAAAGAAAATGATTATATTATACTATATTTTGATTCAAATATTTCTATTCATTCTTTTATTTGAATAGAAGAGCAGGAAAATTAAATTGAATTTATATTATATTTATTTTATATACATCTCGTGATGAAAAAAATATACTTGATATTTGAATCGAGATTGTTTTGAAAGATTTCATAATATTTTGGAAAATTATTTCTAGGTCGAAGGTATATGAACGATATATATATATATATCGATTATAAATTTGATTCATTCTTTCTTTTGATTTTACTATATAAATCGATGCGAGGATAGAATCGAT